TTTTTTTAAAAAACAACTTTATACTTTAGCTAAAATTCTGTTAGGTCTGAGCTCTTCAGTAATAGTGCTATGAATTTAGAGTGATCTTTTTTTGTAAAAGTTTACATTTTCCTAAGAGTTATCCAACTGGTATGCTGCCTATGAGTTACAGATGGACTAAGATATCAAGTCTTATGTGCACTTGGGAAGGCTGGGGTGGCTGCATCTCTGGCCAGTGAGTGGCCTCATACCTTTACTCAAGCACAACATCAAATGTTATCATTTTCTGTATGCCGTGATCTGAAAAAGGTAGGGAAGCACTGAACTGAACAAGGAATGGTTCTCCATAAATTACAAGGCTATTCTGGTGGTCTTCCCATTTGATTCCTGAAAGTGTCAAGTAAACCTAGTGTTAAAGCAGTCAAGTCAATGGGCTTACCTACTCTCATACTTATTGAGGAAACTGGGAAATCATGTCATTTTACAGCCTGATGAGTTCCTTTTCAGGCACTTTATTCTGTCTCTCCCACCCACACTCAAAAAAGAAGGCACCAGAAGCAATGTGTGAGGAAAATAATAACGTCGCTGAGGCTGCAGGTCGCGGGAAGGTTTACCTGGCCTTCCCCCTTCACTCCTGCAGCTTCCTTGACATTAAGACTAAAGCTTTCATCCTCCTGATTGTGAAAAGCACATTCCCCTCAACTTCCATAAATCTGTGAAACTTGAAAAGAGCCCAATGTCATCAAGTAAAAGAGCTGGCTTTAGGACTCTCCATGGAGGAGGGGTGTCTTCAAGCCTCTCACTGTTAAGCCGGACATTTCCTAACACTGGACAAATTGTACGTCCAGCTCAGGGAGGGTGAACTGCAGTGGTCTTTACCCTCCAAGCCAATTGTTAGCTTTTCACAGGAATCAGCAGGGAAGCACATGTGAAACCTCTGTGGTGACGGTGAGCACCCCCATGCCTTGTGTGACTCTGCATGTAGATGAAGCAGGCTGGGAGCTTTCTTAGCTGCTGCTGCTGAGTTCTCAGAGCAGCCCTTTTCTCTGGCGTGGCTCCCTGCTGGGACAGCCCTTTTCAATTTTTCTATCCCCCCTCGATCTCTTCTCCTGCAGAACACAGGGAAACTTGATTGAAATAAAGACCTAGGGAACATGTTTTATTTTCTCCTGTTCAATCCATTTTAGAAAAGCTTTTAATTGGTTTTAAAAAGATGCTAAACAAAATGTGATGATGTTTTTCAGTCTTCATGAACTACGGATACCACTTTTTATACTTTCAAAGGGCTTATAAATCAATCATGAAATTAACTCTCCAGCTAAATTTAAAGCAAATCCACTGAATACCAGATAATTAAAAATCTATGCATTTACTTAGAAAAATTTTAAATTCAAAGAAAATTATTCTAGTAACTGAAATCTGACTTGAATTTTTAGTCCTACACTGAAAATCCAAGACCAAAGCAATCACAAAAGGAAAAAAGGAAGGCTTGTGAGCCAGTTTTAATAAGCCAATTTACAAGGAGGCAAGGGAATGGGGGAGGGGAAGAAGTAGAAAAGAGAATATCTTGATACATAACAACATAGTGCCCCTGAAGGGATTCTTTTATTTGAGCATGTGCAAACATGCACACAATCTTTCTGTGTGAAAGCAGGAATTATAACAAATGCAAAGTTAAGGATTCTGTGGCTGATATGATTACTCTATTGTATACATTTACAGTTCCTTTTTTTTAAAGAAAAATGCCCGCAACCTTTCTGTTTTCTTGACAATGTTAAAATAATAGCTTTCTACCAGCCAATGCATTTCTACAACATTCAAATTTATGTACTTTAATATTTAATTAAAAATATCTGAAAAACCTAAATGCTTCTACTCTAGAATGACAAATATTCTTGAAACTGGATCAGCTTGAAAAATTTCTCCTATTTTCATGAGAGAATGCAAACTAATTTTAAAAAGCAAGTGATACAGAGAAAGCACATTTTCATTTTGTTAAATATGCGCCAACAAGAAATATTTCAAACATTAATTTCTTTGGCCACTGATTCACTTATACAGGAGGTCATCTAGCAGTCCGGGCAGAGCCACCAAATTCTGATTAATGACAGGCTGGTATTCCCTTAAATGAGATTCCCTGCCATTTCCAATCACTAAAGCGACCACATCTACCTTTTATTTCTATGTATTCCTATACCCTTTTCATTCCTAAGAGAAATACGTTCCACGTCCCTTTTTAATGATCCAGTTCCTGTTTCTAGGATTTCTCCCAAGCTGGCCCAGGTGCACTGGGTGCTCACTCCTTACTTCTAGCTCTTTATATAATCCTCCTTTCATCACTTTAGTTTCTGAAACCGCTTTCTTTTTTCGGTAACCATTTTATTGAGATATATTTTATATAAAACACAATTCACTGATTTAAAGTGTACAATTCAATGGTTTTTGGTATACACACAGATATGTGAAATCATTACCACAATCAATTTTAGAACATTTCATCACATAAAAAGAAAGCCTATAACTATTAGCAGTCACTTCTCATTCTCCCTATCCACCCCTCCCAGGCCTAGAAAAACACTCACAAATCTACTTTCTGTCCCTATGGATTTGCCAATTCTGGACATTTCATATAAATGGAATAGTACAATATGTGGTCTTTTGTGACTGGTTTCTTTCACTTAGCATAATGTTTTCAAGGCTCAGCCATGTTGTGACATGTATCAGGACTCATTTCTCTGTATTGATGAATAATAGTCCATTGTATATATCACATTTTATTCTATTTGATGAGCATTTGGGTTGTTTCCACTTTTCAACTGTTATGAATAATGCTGCTATGAACATTCATGTATAAGCTGTTGGGTAGGCATATATTTTCATTTCTTCGGGGTATATACTTAGAAGTAGAATTGTTGGGTCATATGGTAAGTATGTTTAACCTCCTGAACAACTGCTAGACAGTTTCCAAAGGCCACATGATTTTATATTCCCACCAGCAGTGTACAAGGTTTCAAATTTCTCTATATGCACTTGTTCTTACCTGACTTATTTGCATTTTCCTGATGGCTAATCATGCTGAATATCTTTTCATGTACTTACTGGACATTTGAACTTTACTTATTTTTTAATCTTTTCACTTAAATCATGACTTGCTAAATATAAACTACAGCAACAGTAAAATAATTAATCCCACCAAAATAAGGGTACACTAAAAAAATTTTGTTGAAGAGTATAACGTTTCTTTCTTCAAGAATCTTACAATTATTTTTACCAAATAGAAACAGTTATTCCTGAGTGTTTAATTAAAATGTTGCAGGTGCCTAGCCAGAGTGGCTCAGTTGGTTGAGCACTGTCCTGTGCATGGAAAGGATGCTAGTTCAATTCCTGATCAGGGCACATACGTGGGTTGTGGGTTCAATCCCCAGTTGCAGTATGTATGGAAGGTAACCAGTCAATGGTTCTCTTTCTTCTCTCCTTCTCTCTCTCTCTCTCTCTCTCTCTCTCTCTCTCTCTCTGTCTCTGTCTCTGTCTCTGTCTCACCCTTCCTCTCTCTAAGAATGTCTTTGGGTGAGGACTTAAAAAAAGTTGCAGGTCATTTGTTAATATGTTCTGTTTATTTCTATTAGTATCTATTTTGGATTAGCTAATTCTCAGCTAGGTGTATAGTCACTAACAATGCAAAGGATGGGCAGTTTGAAATATACCATTGACAAATTCTTCTTCTCCCTCCCAAATGATTTTTACCATACATTCATTTTAGATAAAAAAAAATTAAGTATTACAAGAAATAAACTTAAATGCCTGGAAAAAGTCTCCCAATCTCATAATTTTTAAAATGCTGATTTCATAAAAAAGGATTTTTGGATATATACTGAGGTTATTTCTTTTCATTCTAGCAACTTTGAATATATCTACTTATATATTTACTGAAGAATCAGAGAAGGAAAAAATATTCTTACTTCTCTAACTTCAGTCTAAGTACAAACTCTAATTACTGGGAATAATAGTTTATGGAAAGATGATTAAAAAATCCTTTCACAATGCAAATATGTAATAACATTTCAAGGTTGTTGTAGGTTATGTTTATTTTCACTGTTCTATAAACTTAAAAAAAGAACACTAAAAAAATCAAGACAAGTCCTTTCCTCTAGGAGTAACACACCCATACAAAACACACACACACACACACACACAATTTAAATTAGATTTATCAGTTTAATATTAAATATTTTCCATATAGTCTATGTCTCTAACTTCAAATATGGGATTCCCATTGAGACATTAAGATATTTTTCAAGTTAGTACTCAATCCCTTTGTATCTGCCTTTGATTGGCATTTCTTCGAGGTTGCAGCACACAGAATCAATCAAGAGAATTCGTGTCATAGCCAAACATGCTCTGGCAGCCTCTACATAATTAACATATTTAACCAGCCCTCATAGGTTAGTTTTAAATGTGTTAAGGTATCAAAATCACCAGTCTCAATAGCCACATCAGTAAAAATGTAACCACATGAACCAAGATCCTGGCTATAAACTCACTCTTTAAATATGCCACATGCCACAAGAAAAAGAACTCAAATGCATCTGTAAAACTGAAAAAAAAAAAAAAAATCTGCCTATAGGAAATACATTTCCCCAAATAAAAATTCTCAGAAAACCTATGAAATGATAAAGGAAACAAATGAGAACATGTATTTAAACCCTTCCACATTAATATCATAAACTCTCATAGGAAACGAAAGGGAATAAAGATGTGTTGTATGATGGGGAACCTAAAAAACAAAACAGAATACTAACTGAAACTATGGGATTTTGAAACTTTCAGAAAAGGAATGAAAAACTTCTCTGATTGTTAAGAAAATCATTTACCTTAAGACAGAAGGCCAGACCAGATGACCTTTCAAAATCCCTCAAAAGAATTTTATGCATTTATTATAACCTACGTATTTAGAGAGAGTGTACCATTATATGCAATTTACTGGAAAAACTCTGTGAAGATGTTCCTTATGTTATTTTTACCTGAGGAGGAGCCTTTTTCAGTAACACAAGAAGAGCCTGTAATACCAGATTAGAAAATCGAGGGCCAATAGGGACATAATCTGAAAGAGAAATATTACTATGCTTAGGGATTTGATGCACATATTCCAAACATTCATATTTTCTACATCAAGAGCAAACACAGTTCTAGAAACAGTCATGCAACTAATGATATTAAAAAACAAATATCTGGATAATTTGAACGCATACAATATTATATAACAACTTTTATCTGTAAATTTTTTTAAAAGCTTCTAAATATACATTTTGAGTTCATTTAGACATATTCAGAGACAGGTTTATTTAAGGGAGAAAAACCCCTCAAATGTATTTACTTAGCATTTCCAAGAAATTACTGCAAACTATGGCAATACGGTAAGTACACAGGCAACAAAACACCATACTAGAAAATGGGTAGAGGGGGCAATGGTACGTAATAATAATGTAAGAAAGGTACTTCAATGTAACTGAAAAGGTGTGCAGGGGTTCTCAACCTGTGGGTCGCGACCACTTTGGCGGTCGAAGGACCCTTTCACAGGGGTCGCCTAAGACGCTCCTGCATATCAGATATTTACATTATGATTCATAACAGTAGCAACATTACAGCTATGAAGTAGCAAAGAAAATAATGTTATGGTTGGGTCACAACATGAGGAACTGTATTTAAAGGGCCAGAAGGTTGAGAACCACTGAGTTAGAGGCACTAAGTTGCTCCTCAGGTCAAAGGGGGAGAGGTGCCCTCACCTATGCAGACGACATCCATGAAGCCATACATGCCGTAGCAGATCTGAAATAGCAGATCCTGTCGTTGCCACTTGGCTGAATTCATACAAGTGAAAATATACTCAGAGGGTACACATTCCTGACATAGTAGTGTTGCTATGACCACACATTTCAATTGTGTTTAGATAAAGGAATTTACACAGATCTATGAGTATGTGCCTAAAAGCTTTTAAAGAAATAATCCTATAAACTTGGCTAAAATCTATTAAAAACAGCAGACCAAAAACCCAGGTCACTAGATAAAACAATCAATTTAAAAAGATCTCACAGATATACCTGTTTTGCTTTTTAACCAATATTGCCTTAGGAAACAAAAATAAATAACAGAGGACCTAAAGCAAGTCTGAAAATCATGGGAAAAATGTAGTCAGCATAGGTAACTTGAAATCATTTCTACACCAGTGTGGATAGCTTAAGGAAGAAGGGATTAATTAGGTGTTAGATAGTATTTTCAGAGGTTTAAGTCAGCAGGTGGGTTCAATTTCAACAGTTTATTAGAACATCCTGAGCCACTGTTATAATAAGTTTATTCCAGAGTTATCTAATTTATGCAATGAAATAAAATGTAAGAATAATACTTTTCTGGAATTTATTTGTAGATTACACATTTTGAGTTGAGTGCAGGGACTTATTCATCTCTGTATTATGTAAGAATGCATATAAATGTTTAATAAATATTTTTAAAAATTACCACAGAGCACTTTTAACTTTCAGAATGTTTTCAACATTATTATATCAATTTTGTCTTCATAATTACTCTATGGGATAAGTAAGGAAGGGATATAGTCCTTTATATCCCTTTTATGTATCTTTTATAAGAGCAGAAACTGAGGTAACAGAAAGCTTGCAGCTTCTACCCCAAGTATTATCTGACTCTAATTGTAAACCCTACTTTCATTAGCTCTGTCAAGTTCATAAGTGAAACCTCTGAGCTACAGGCAGTAAATACATCAGTCAACAAAAATTACTAATCATTTATTATGGGCAGGGAACTCTGTAGAAGATAAAAAATATTATGAGGCAGGAGTCCTTACAGGAAAACAACTTATAACGGAGTTATAGTCATAAGGCAAACTTAACATGAATACCATCATTAACTAGAGAGAGAAGAGATAATGTTATATTTCCTTATAGGACAAAGAAAGGTATTTATATTGCCTTATAATTTATAAATACCTGTTATTTTTCTTCTTATAATCTGTGAGACACTGGCAAAGACAGTACAATAACAAATGCAATGACTCACCAAGCAGTCTCTCAATATCATCCACAACTACACAACTGAGCTGGGATTTGTATGCATCATCGAAGATCTGGAAGAAAGCAAAACCATTTATTATCTCACTGCTCTCCATAATTATGACAATATCTAAGAAGATTAAAATGACTTGCCCAAAATGATACTAGATCATGGCTATGTCCTACCTGGAATTCTGAGAACAGACAAATCCTGTCAAGTTTACCACAAAGGTCTCTCCTATCTATGTCAGGCCCATGGCTTCAGTGTTGTGACTCAAAAGCCAGATGAAGCCACAAGGGATATGTAGAGTAAAATTGGATGTCATTTTATTATCTGTAAGAACTGTGACCCTTTTAAGCAGGAATAACATTGAGAGAACAGAAGCTTGTTGACTCAAATCAGACTATAATGCTCAGTGTTTACAAAAGAATGAAAGTTGGGTATAAAGGACAAAATAGATTTGGTTCTACCTTTAGAATCTGAAAAAAGATAATAATACATTGTCTTATGATAGCCAAAGAAATGGTCACTAAACCAAGAAGTGAACAAGTTATAACCTGATAAGGACGTAGCAATTACAAGCCAGATAAGAGAATTCATTTATGTAAAAATAGAATATAAGCACCCAAGGCTTTGAGACCAGCCTTTTTATAAATGTTCGGGGCTCCTTTCCAGCAACTATAATCTGGGCTCAGTGCATCCCATTCGTGTCATCTGTAATTAATTTCTGCATCCCAGCCCAAGCTCTCTGGTTGATAAGTAACCTCAGTGACCAAGATGTAACTCCCTTCCATCTTGCTTTGGGTGACATAATATTCCTTAGCAGCTCTCTTTTAACTATATAAGATTAAGAAATAAAGTAAATCAAACCAACAAAAGTAATCTTTTCATACTAAGTTTGAAGACAACCTGTGTGTGCTTGGTCTTTAAAATATTAGAAATAATTAAGAGAATTTACCATATTAGATTACTAGATTAGCCTTGCTAGTTCAATTTAAAATATGCACTTGAATAATTAATTTTATGTTGGGAGGTAAAAGATAACTTTAATGGCCTTGCAAATGGTAAAGATAATCTAAGATTAACCATGCTTATGATTTAATTTATTATTAAATAAATGCAATTATATACTTACTCTGAAATTTAGAATATTTTTTGTTAGACAAACTAAAGTACTTCAAAGAGAAAAGAAAATATTTTAAATGTGGAAATATAGTTTGATATTTAAAGAAATTTAATTAAACTGTAAAAGTCCCCTTTTAAGTAATTACTAAATTTTTCTAGACTTACAAATAGAATAAGAGATGTAAGTAGACTTTTTAAAAGTTTGCTTACTTTTGTTTTAAAAACTCTTACATGATATAATTTTGTTATGTAGCATTTAAAATTTTTTAGGCCACAAATTAGCTACAGATGATCCTTCTGTAGGTAATTGATGGGAATATGTGCCTCAACTGGGGTAGTGATCAAACAAAACCCGGATATATGCCCTGATTGGGCATCAAACCTGCCAACATTTGGTGTACAGAACTACTATCCAACCAACTGAGCCATAGTGGCCAGGGCTACCTATGGTCATTTCTATGCTCAAAAGTCACTCTCAAAGATGAAACAAACAAACAAACAAACAAAACATCCAACCCCTCCCCCCTTAAAAAACCTCCCAAAATTTAAAAAAAGCAAAAAACAACTCATGTTGACAATCTAGAGATGGTAAGATCCTCCCCAGCACACTATATTCTGTAAGGTAGACACTGTCTTCCCAAGTATTATGTTTCCAAGGTCTGATACCTCACTGGTACTTAATCCATGTCTGCTGCATGCATGCATAAAAGAAAGCATGCTTGAAGAATAGCTCTGTTGCTTTACTTTGCACCATTCCCTACCACACTCAGTCATTCTCCCACACTGTCACAATCCCTTCTACCCTCTCTTCCTTAGCTGTCTTCCCATTGGATTGTGAGGTGGATAAAAATGATAAAATGTATCATTTTCTGGAAGGAGCTCCTTTTATCCTGATTGGCTATCATGGAATCACATGTGAGATGGAGCCTCTGCTACTAGCTTGAGTCTCTGAGAAACTACAATGAGCAGAGCTCTGCCTCTGAAGCATGATGGACAAGTACTGTGAGCAAGAAATAAACTCTGTTGTATTAAGCCACTGAGATTTTGGGGTTGTTCATTATTGCAGCATAACTTAGCCTAGCCTGACTGATACAGAGGCTTATGGAGTCAATGCTGTGTTCCTAAATTTAGCAAGTGACAAGTAAGTTGAGACCTGAAGGATGAACAACCAGTGGAAAACAGGGAAGAAAATGTTCTAAGAAGAGTATACTGGGTATTAGGAGGCAGAAGTGAGAAAATTCAGGAGCACTGCAGGAACTGACATAGTCAATAAGAATTAAAATGAAGGGGTCAGTGTTGGTGTGTGTGGGGAGTGGTGGGTGAGAGATGAAGCAGAAGAGAAATGGAAGAGACAATGGAAAAGTTTGGAAGCAGTTCCCCTGTGGTTCTTTGCTATTTTTTTATTTTTATTTTATTTTATTTTTTTTATTAGTTAAGGTATTACAAATGTGTCCTCATCCCCCATTAACCTCCAACCGCCCCCCCCACCCCCCCCACACACACACTCATGCTCCTATCCCCCTGTTGTCCATGTCCATTGGTTTGGTTTGTATACATGTATAAAAGTCCTTCGGTTGATCTCTTCCCCTTACCCTCGCCTTCCCCTACTTCCCTT